ACAGATACATCTCGTTGTAAATTATAGAGTAATGCTTGCGTGAATGTGAAATATATGTATGTGAATATATGTGTAACAATTTTTAATAAAGTTGCAGTAGAATAACATTTTTGACCTGCGAAAGTGGGTGATGAGTGAGTGATAAGCAAAGGAAATTCATCCACTTCCCTTGATGTACAATGCACAAAATTGGATGGCATGATCACTCAGTTTTCTGATGTGAAGTTTTACAGTGTTATTTCGACTCTTTAAATTTCATAAAAATTGTTACACGTCATATATTTCAAGCAAGTATTGCATAGTACAAATAATACCCGAATGGCTTTCTACGTATATGCATCTAAAATCTATCGGGTAATATGACTTTGTGTGACATCTAGCGACTTAAAGGAGACGAATAATAATATTAGCTGTAATAATCTAAGAAATCCAAAGAATTATTCCTGCATTTACTTAGAGTAGTTCATTGATACTAGCACTGAACACAATGAGTTCGTAGAGGTAGTCGACTATCAACGGTTCTATTGAAACAAGAAAATGGAAGCAGGACTGTTGTGTGGCATAAGACGAAGCATTGATTAGGTAAAAAGACAACAGCTCTTTGAAAATGACGGAAACAAAGTCTGTTATTAGTGAGTCTTCATCGTCGGAACATCCCCCTGGATTATCGGACGATGCCGACGACCTTGACTTATATCAACGATTGGAAAAAATTGAGTAAGTATAAATATTTATCGTGTTTCTTTCTTAGTTGTTTAGGTTTACAACCTCGTATACAATAAAATTCGTCATAAAACGGCAAGTCAACATCGTCTTCCTTTGATGGTCCTTTGTTATTGTTTATTCTAAAATTCAATATCATTTAACAAATAGACGACACATATAGTTGGTTTATTGTTAAATTTTAGACTATTCGCGACATGTAAATTGGGTATCTGTATTATCGCTGCTAAATGCTTTTCTATTGCTCCGAAATGAATTATTGACAAACAATATAATTTTTGATTTCTAAAATCTTTTTGCTCCTAATTTTGTCTCGTTTTCTGAACTAATCCGATGTATTTTGCTTTTTTCTTTTAGACGTGAAATTGTTGAATTAACTTTTGAAAATCGTGTATTCGAAACAAATTTAGAACGTAAAAAGTCTGAACCAGTACCGACAAGCAATGCATTAGGTGTTAGTGCAGCAGGCAGTTCTCTTACATCCACACCAACCGGCTCTACGCAGGACGTATCAGGTTAGTCTTCTCTAATTATTTAAAATTCGAATCACATGTTTTTGTTTGATAGGTGGTGGTCGCGGTGATCGTTTAGCTCGAAAACGCTCGAAATCTCGTAGTACACAGGGAGATTTTCGTGTTCAATTAACATTAGAACAAAAACTAGACATTATCGTATCAGAATATGAACAAATGAAAAATGATAAACAAAAGAAAGAAATGTCGAATGAAAAGAAACTTGATCAGCTGGAAGTATGTAAAATGTTTAACATTATATTTTGTGATTGTTGCCTGGATCTATAAAAAAATTTCTACAATTTTTTATGCTAATATAACTGTTTCACATGTTAAATTTTAGTTTATTTACTATTCCTGTTAATAGGTTGAGCTTGTTTATAGAAAAAGTTGTTGAAAAGTTAGTTGTTTCTTTCCTGACTGAAATAATAATTTAGGCAAAGATGTATATGCCTCGTCTCTTGAGAATTAATCATACTTTTTCATTGTTATTTCATTTTAGTCCGATTTGGAATGGATTGATGTTGAAGCGGTTGATTTCGAAGCCGCCATCACCGAATTTTTGAAATTAAAAGAAACATCTATTGATAAACGAACGAAGAAATATATTGGTGAAAAGATTGATCGCTATTTTAATGAACGAAAAAAAGCACGGGAATCACTAATTAACAAATTAACAGATAAATCACAAGGACTCAAAAGACTCATCAAACGATTAGGTATGTCAGATAATTGTTTTTGAACTATTCTGCATGATAAATTTATTTGTACTATGTTTGTATCTCAAATGGACTGTTCTGTTTCAGAAATTAAATAACTTGTTTACTCTTTCTTTGCGTTTAGAATCCCAATTACGTCAAAAAGAAGAAATGGGTGAAACGTTACATGAAGTTGATTTCAATCAACTGAAAATTGAAAACAAACAATATTTGGATAAAATTGACGAGAAGAATTATGAACTTATTGTTCTTAAACGTCAGGTTGGTCAAGCTACACAACAATTGAATAGGTATAAAGACGAATTACAAACCGAATTAAGTTTACAACTTGATATCCATTCGAAAATTGATAAACAACAACAATTGCTTGAACGTGTTGATCAGGAAATGAGTCAAGTAAATCAAGAATTAGCCAAAGCAGATAAATTGAATCAAACACTCACTGAACAAACGCAAGATTATCAAGTACCAGAAGTACTCGATTATGTGAAAAAGAAAGCATTACTCTATAATTTACAACGAGATGTATCTGTGTGGGAAAGAAAATTAGAAATTGCACAGGTAAAATGATTTAATAGCCTACAAAAAAATGAATATTTCTCATAGTATTTTCTGTAAAAGTATTCTTTTTTTTGTTTTTGACTATTATCATAATGTTTTAACTTGTTTAGATGGCTCTTCAACAATCCAAACAGCAATGGCAAACTCTTCAACGAACAGCGCAATTTCAAAATCAACCGTCGCAAGCAGTTGGAGGAAGGCGAGAAGTGGAAGCCAGATAATCTATTTTAACGTTTTATTTATCTCTCCCATAAATTCATCACACTTTTTCGTTCTTTAATTTTTATGATTTACAAGTATGCTCTTTTATACCAGATGAGGCGGTCAAAACTTTTCTGACCTATGAACACTAAATATTTTTCGATTTGCATGCATTGAACATTTGTTGTTTGTTGATCGATTAGCAAGAAGAAGTTGGTCTTTATAATATGCTTCAGCGTTCTAACATAGGTTACAATCATATAAAAGCTGCAGTAATAATTTTAGCAATCATATCTCCACGACGTTAACATTCTGCTATGTTCGAACAGAATATGTGACGTTGGGTAATAAAACGGTTGTTAATACACAACTTCAATTTGATGATAACTTATTAATACTAAATTATTCTGTTTATCTATATACATTTACCAGAAATGAAGAAAAATCAGAAGAGCGATGTAGGTAGGCAATTTGCACAAAACTATGCATAAGCAAACTTGAAACAAGGGTACGTTAGACGTCATTGAAATTGATATGGATTGTACCATATTTTACTTTATAATTCAATTCTGTTTAGTTTTATTAAGTACTATATCTGATTTGAACCGACTACAAAGGCTGTATATCAGATTAAATTAGCAAAAATCCAGTCTTTGCATCTGTACTGAATAAACAATCGACGTTTCCTTA